GTTTCATTACTCTTTTGTATTGTTTTTTAGATGCTATTTCATTTATTTCTGCTCTGGTCTTTATTATTTCCTTCCTTCTATTCATTTTGTGCTTTGTTTGCTATTCTTTTTCTAGTTCTTTTAAGTGTTATTTTTGTTTGTTTTTTTTTGTTTTTTTTTTTTTTTTTTTTTTTTTTTTTTTTTTTTTTTTTTTTTTTTTTTTGAGGTAGGCCTGTATTGCTACGAATTTCCTTCTTAGGACTGCTTTCACTGTACCCTATAGATTTTGAGCCGTTGTGTTTTCATTTTCATTTGTCTCTAGGTATCTTTTGATTTCTTTCTTGATCTCATTGATAACCCATTCATTGTTTAGTAGCATGTTATTTAGCTTCCATGTATTTGTGTATTTTCCTGGTTTTTCCTTGTAGTTAATTTCTAGTTTCATAACATTATGATCGGAGAAGACAATTGATATGACATCAGTCTTATTAAATTTATTTTGAGACTTACTTTGTGTCCTGACATGTAGTCTATCCTGGAAAATGTTCCATGTGCTCTTGAGAAGAATGTACATTTTGCTGCTTTGGGGTAAAATGCTCTGAAAATATCTATTATATCCATCTATCTGATCTAGTGTTTCTTTTAAGCCCATTGTTTCCTTGTTGATTTTTTGCCTGGAAGATCTGTCCATTGGTGTCAGTGGGATGTTAAAGTCTCCTACTATGAGTGTATTACTGTTGATCTCTCCTTTTATGTCAGTCAATAATTGCTTTATGTATGTAGGTGCTCCTGTGTTGGGTGCGTACATGTTTACTAGGGTTATGTCCTCTTGATTTATTGATCCCTTTATCTTTATGTAATTCTTTTTTTTTTTCTCTTATTAGTGTCTTTGCTTTAAAGTCTATTTTGTCTGATATAAGTATCACTACCCTGGCTTTTTAAATTTCCATTCGTATGAAATCTCTTTTCCATCTCTTTACTTTCAGTCTGTGAGTGTCATTTGATCTGAATTGGGTCTCTTGTAGACAGCATATGCATGGGTCTTGTTTTCTTATCCATTTGGCTACCCTATGTCTTTTGATTGAAGCATTTAATCCATTCACATTTAAAGTGATTACTGATAGGTACCTAGTTACTTCTAGTTTATCAGTCATATTTGTTATTTCTATTTTCTTTTTTAGCCCTTCTCTTTTTACAGAAGTCCTTTTAACATTTCTTTTAATACTGGCTTTTGGTGTTGAATTCCTTAAGCTTTTTCCTATCTGGGAAATTCTTTATCTCACCTTCTATTTTAATCAAAAGATTTGCTAGGTAGAGTATTTGTGGTTGTAGGTTCTTGTTTTCCATAACTTTGAATATTTCTTGCCTGTCCCTTCTGGCCTGCAAGTTTCCGTTGAGCAAATTTCAAATATACAATACATAATTACTAACTAGTCACCATGTTGTACATTAAGTCTCCAGAAAGTATTCATCTTATAACTGAAAGTGTGTACCCTGTAATCAATATCTTCCCTTTTCCTCCAACCTCCGTCATCTGATAACCACCATTCTACTCTCTCATACTATGACTTCGACAATTTTTTTTTTTTGATCCCACATATAAGAGCATATAATATTTGTCTTTCTTGTGTCTGGTTCATTTCATATAGCATAATGTCTTTCAAATGCATTCATGTAGTCACAAATGCAGGATTTCTTTTTTTAGAGATAAATAATATTCCATTGTATATTTTGTGCCAGTTTTTTTTTCCCCTTGGTTTTCTTTTCCTCCAGCTTTATTGAAATATAATAGACAATTACTTATTGTACAATTTGTTGGTTTTTTTTAAATTATAGTTGGCATACAATAATATACCAGTTTCAGTTGTATAGTGGTCGTAGATCCACATAACTCGTAAAGCAGTCACCCCATTAAATCTAGTACCCTTTTTTCCCTTTACATATTTATTACATTATTAACCATCTTCCCCAAGCTGCACTCTACATCTCCATGTCTATTCTGCAACTGTCCATTTGTACCTTTTAATCTCTTTGCCTTTTTTTACCATCCCCCAAACCCCACCCATCTAGTAGTCCTAAAAATATTCTCTGTATCCGAGTTTATTTCTGCTTTTGTTGTTGTTGTTTGTTGTTGTTGTTGTTGATTTTGTTCTTTGGATTCCACATGTACATGAAATCATGTGATATTTCTCTTTCTCTGTCCGATTCATTTCAATTAATACAATACCCTCTTGGTCCATCAAGGAAATATCTTTTTGCATCCCCTTCCTTTTAGTCTGTGTGTATCTTTTAATCCGAAGTGAGTCTCTCATAGGCAGCATACATAGGAGTCTTGTTTTCTTATCCATTCAACTCTGTCTTTTGGTTGGAGCACTTAATTCTTTTCCATTTGAGGTACTTGTTGATAGGAATGTAGTTATTACCATTCTTTATTCCTGTTTTTGATACATGTTTTTTCTTCTTAAAGAAGTCCCTCCTACATTTCCTATAATGCTGGCTTGGTGTTGATGAATTCCTTTAGCTTATTTTTGTCTGAGAAGCTCTTTATCTGTCCTTCAACTCTAACAAATAGCTTTGCTGGATAAAGTATTCTTGGTTGTAGATCCTGCGTTTTCATCACATCAAATATTTTGTGCCAAGCCCTTCTGTCCTGCTTGGTTTCTTTTGAGAAATCAGCTTCCAGTTTTATGGATGCTCCCTTGTAGGTAATTAACTGCTTTTCTCTTGCTGCTGTTAAGATTCTCTCTCTTTAACCTTTGGTATTTTAATTTTAGTGTGTCTTGGTGAGGGCCTCTTTGAGTTCCTCTTTTTTGGGACTCTCTGGGTTTCCTGGAGTTGTATGTCTCTTTCCTTCACTGTGTGAGGGAAGTTTTCTATCATTCTTCAAATAGCTCTTCAATGTCTTGTTTTGCTTCAGGTATCCCTATGACCCAGATATTTTTACATTTAATAGTGTCTCATAGGTTCCTTAAATTATTATTATAGTCTTGGCTTCTTTTTTCTTGCCATTAAGATTGAGTGTCCTTGGCTTCCCCATCCTCTGTATTGGCTATTCCATCCTCTTCTTTATTCACTCTATTGATTTCTTCTAATATACTCTTCATCTCAGGTAATGTAATCTTCATTTCTGACTGGTTCCCTTTTATAATTTCCATTTCCATTTTTATGTTTTTTATCTCTTTTTTAAAGTTCTTACTGAATTCATCTGTACTTCCCCTGAGTTCACTGAGCATCTTTAGAGCCAGTGTTTTGAACTCTGCATCTGTTAGATTACTTGACTCCATTATTTCTGTATCTCTGTTCTGTTCTCTCATATGGTTTCTGCTCCTTTGTCTTCCCATTTTGGCTGCCTTTCCATGTCTGTTTCTATGTACTAAGCAAAGCTCTCAAGTCTCCCTGTCTTATTAGCATGGCTTTGTGTAGTAGGTGTCCAGAGGCACAGTCCTGAGAGGGGTTCAGCTGAAAGCCAACTTCAGCCCCAGTCTGTGCCCCTTAGGGACCACCTGTTAAGATTTAGCAACTAATATGCAGATACTGTGCTTTTAGTCGCCTCAAGAAACCACACCAGGCAGGGAGGTTCAGGGAATCCTCTGGGCAGCGATCTTCATTATCCATTTCGGTGACATCTCAGCTCTGGCGGCGCTGAGTCTGCACACTGGAGTGGGGAGGACTCAAGAGAGGAGCAATGGATACCACTGTCACTTCTGCCTGGGAGAAAGCCTCACCTCCAGCCCTTACTCCCACATCTCAGTGTCCCCCTGTAAGTCCCTGGTGCCTCTCATGTAGCCAACCCAGCGCTGGCGTTCAGAGCGAGCAGATCTGTCACAAAAGTCCGCTCACAGACACTGCCTCTTTAAGAGGTGTCTACAGCTGCCGCTGCCACCGCCATAGCCTCAGTCCCACTCAGCCACTCAGGACCAGGCAGCCTCACATCTTCACCCCATCCTACTTTCTACCGTTGCAGGTTGGTTGATTTTTTCTCTCCCTAGTTGTAGTGCTTCTGTTCCTCTAGATCCTGGGTGACTTTGCTTACTGTTCGCTCTTTTTTTCTGTCACAACTTTGATGTGGTTGCAAGAGGAATGAACAGAGCCTCTGTCACCTTCGCCATTTTTTTCTTCACCCTCTAAATGCAGTTTTGAAAAATAACAGACCCCCTTGTGAGCTTTGCCCAGTTTCCCCCAATGGTCACATTTTTTAAAACTGTAATACATTATCACAACCAGGATATTGATAGTCTACCAATCTTACTCAGATTTTCACAGTTTTAATGTGTACTGATTTGCTATGTGTATTTAGTTAAGTACAGCTTTATCACATGTGTAGGTTCCTGTATCCACCAGCACAGTCAAGATACTGCACCCTTTCAATATCACAAGATCCTTCTGTTGCACTTTTATAACCACACCAACACTATCCTGCCCTTCCACCCTCATCTTCAACTCCTGGTAACCACTAATCTGTTCTCCATCTCTGAAATTTTGTCATTTCAATTATGTTATTTAAATAGAATCATATCGTATATAACCTTTGGGATTGACTTTTTTCACTCAGTGTAAATTCCGTGGAGGTTCTTCTGGTGCTTGTGTATCCACAGTTCCTTCTCCTTGCTGAGCAGTGCCCCTACGTTGTGGGTGACCCACAGTTCAACTGTTCACCTGCTGAAGAACATTGGGGTTGTTTCCAGTGTTTGCTGACAGTGAATTAAGCTATGAACTTTGTTATAGGTTTTACATGAATATAGGTTTTCATTTCTCAAGAATAAATGCTGAGCCTGGTTTTCTAACTATTATACTATGATGTCTTCTTGCCTTCATCTACCTTGAAGCTTCTCCACTGATTCAATACAGTATTCAAAAAGAAGCTTACATATATTAACAAAACAACTTTGTTGTTCCTTAACATTAGCTTATATGTCATTTGCATTTATATATCCCAATTAAAAATAATCTATAACCATATATAAGATATTGTGTTGACTGTGATGTTGACATTTAATTGCTGTCTCCTTTTGTTTTTGAAGTGATGGCCAAAAAATGAGTAAAAGAAAAAAGAATTATCCAGATCCACTTTCAATCATCCATAAATATGGCGCTGATGCCCTCAGGTACAAACCACTGCTTTGTCTTGTGTGTATTTGTCATTTTGAACATAAACATCTCTCATTTTTTAATCATGTTTCTTAGATTTGGTTTATAATAGCTTTTGTTTAAAATAGCTTTTAAAAAATGTATCACTGTTATAGGGAGAGTTATATTTGTATGGTGTTGACTTTAACCCCCCAAGGTGGTTTTCTAAATAATAAAGACATTTCCAAATCTGGGCATCTTTTGGACAAAGACCTGTGTTGGAGCAGTCTAGGTACTCCCAGGCTAATTGCTGGTGTTTCTGCCTCACTCCTTCAATAAGGTCTCCATTTTATTGGTGTTACATCATTTCAGTTTTACACTTAACTCTTCACAAGAGCCATATGAGATAATTTATGCTAGAGCAAATAATAATTGATATTGAAAAGCTTTTCTAGAATGTGAGCTGCTACTTGAAATAATCATAGCCCTCAACATTGAGTGTTCACGTTAAAAGCCCACCCCACCCCTGAGCCCCTTCTGTGCTGGCAGAACACACAGCTGCTCCTTGTGAATCTCTGGTGCCTGCATATGGTTTCCTGGAAGGAGGGCTTAGGTGTTTCCTCTTGGTTTTGCTATACCGCCATGGCCTGTGCTGAGACCAGCACAAGGTGTGCTTTAGCTTTGTCTAGTGCCATATTTTGGTGTTGGGTTGCATCTCCCTTTATAATTTGATAGGTCTCTTACATATAAAAGTAAGAGCTTTGTCACTTTTAAATAGACCACTAGAAGAGTGTTCATAATTATCCACTTTTGTAGAAAAAAATGCTAATTTTGGTGTTGTCCTGTCAAAACATCAAATAATATTCAGTTACTATGATATCCCTTTTCTGTGTAATTTTTCCCTTACAGATTATATCTAATTAACTCCCCTGTGGTGAGAGCAGAAAACCTTCGTTTTAAGGAGGAGGGTGTGCGTGATGTCCTTAAAGACGTGCTACTCCCTTGGTACAACGCCTATCGCTTCTTCATCCAGAATGTCCTAAGACTGCAGAAGGTATGGGCTGTGGTGCTGTGGGTTGGGCTTTACCTTCTCAGCTTTGTTGAACTGGGTTTGCCAGGCCCGGTGGGTAAGAGTTCAGAGCCACTGAGGAGGCAATAGATGAAGGTATCTGGGGTCTTTGCTGGGCTGGAGCACGGAACTGGGACTAGACTATCTGGGCAGGCTCACCTCTGCAGACATAGGAGCCTCACTTGTAGAAGAGTTACATTGGATATTCATTTAGTCAGCCAATTCCCCTCCCCTTCATGGAACCAATGAAAAGTCAGCTACTGTCAGAGAGCGAATGCCTGGTAAAGGCTGCTGCAGAGGGTTGGTCAGGGAAAGCCTCTTGAACGATGCATTTGAGCTGAGATTCTGTGAGAGAAATTCTCATTGTATTGTTAGGATTTAAAATAATGGTTGTGATATATGTGAAAGTGCCTTCAGAACAGTTACCTGCTGGCCCAGAAGGCATTCTCTGAGAAGCCACCTCCCCTGCATTCACTGACTGCTGTCAGGCGAGCAGGCTTCATTACACATGTGCTTGTCTGTGCTTTCAGCACTCCATTTGGGACAGGGCCCAGATACCACTCATCTTTTTAATCTCTAGCACCTTATAAGTTGGATTGCTTAGTAAATTATTGTTAAACTAAACATGTGATGTTATTCCTTCCTAAAAAAACTGGTTAGAGAGCTGAGCTTTGAACATCACACTTCAGCAGTCTGGTCACTTTTCTTCCTGTTGCCTCTGGCTTATCTAGGTCTGCTAATAAACTTCCCAGGTGGGATTTTTCACTGTGAATTGAGAAAGGCAGTTATCTTCCCCAGGTCCCTAGTGTTGCTTCTGCCTTTTCAATCCTACCACCTCTTGGGGCCAACAAGCCTTAGATAGGTCCACCTTGCAGGCCTCTGCTAGTCTGGAGCCTCATCTGGGCCTGGCAGCAAGATGTAGCCTCCACTATCAGGTGCATAAATCAGGGCAAGGGTCAGCATGGCTGCTGCTCTGCCAGCCTGGTAGTGATGCTGTATGAGTAGGTAAAGGTGAGGTGGGCTTTCAAGATTGAAGAAGATTTTGCAAAGGAAAAAAAAGGAGTGGACTAGAGCAGAGGTCCTCGACCTTTTTGGCACCAAGGACTAGTGCCCCTATGAGAATCTAATGCCTGATGATTTGAGATGGAGCTGAGGTGGTGATAGCACTGAGGAGAGTCTGCAAATACAGATGAAGTTCCGCTCACTCCTCAGCCACTCACTTCTGCTGTGCAGCCTGGCTCATAACAGGCCACAGACCGGTACCGGTCTGCGGCCCCAGGGTTGGAGACCCCTGGATTAGAGCATTCTAGGTAGAGTGAATAATATAAACAGAGACATTAATTTCTAGTGCTCATTTTTAGGTTATAGACAATTATCCAGTGCTTGCCAGTTTTGCTGTCTTTCCATCCTCAGATTTAAAGTAACTAAACCTAATACTTACTGGCAAGATTTTGAGATATTTCTCAATTCATAATCATTCTTTTGTGCAGAGAAATAATTTTTCCTAAATTCTCTTTATTTCACTCAAAAATGTGACTCACTAATTGAAGACTTAATGTTCCAAGTTTAGAGCTTATGGAAAATATTACTAAGAATCAGAAATTTAGAATTGCCAATTGGGTCTGGGGTTTTTTTGTTGTTTGTTTTGGTTGGCAGTTTTCAGTTTTAAGTGATTTAGAGTTCATTTCTTTACATTAATTTCTCCCAAGCATGCACAATTTTTCAAAAATTGTCAATTCCTAGGAGGAAGAAATGGAATTCCTCTACAATGAAAACACAGTTAAAGAAAGTACCAACATCACAGACCGCTGGGTCCTGTCCTTCATGCAGTCGCTTGTTGGGTTCTTTGAGACCGAAATGGCAGGTATGTCTCTCATTGGCCATTTCTAGGACTAAGGATTGCCCTTTAGATATTTAACTATTTATAAAAATAGAGAAAATATTATAGAAATTTTAAGAGGTACAGAATAGTAGATAAATAATTGTTTCTTTAACACTCAAATGTAACTTTGTTAAGGCTTGTTAGTTGTAGAAATGCCCTGGTCCAACGCCTAGGGAATTGTCTCAGAGGAAATCCAGCAGCCTCAGCTCTCTACAGGTACCACGTGGGCCCGTGGAATCACAGACTTGATTGCTGGATGCCTGTGGGTTCAAAACCCAACTCTACCATCTATTCCCCAGGGAAGTATTGCCTAGTCTGTGAACCTCAATTACTTCCTGTGAAAAATGTGTGATTAAAGTTTATCATAAGACTCAAATAGAGGTCATGTATATAAAGTAGGTGGTAGATAATAGGTACACAATAAGTAATACTTGTTAATACATTTTTTTATTTCAGGTCTACTTTTATTATTAAATAAGTAGTCTTTGTTCAGTCTTGAGAAATTAGGAAATACAGAAAAGCAATAATGAAGTAGATATTACCTTATATTTCTGTTACCTAACAACAATGAATTTGGTTTTATACAGAAGTTAGAAAAGTAGGTTGTGTTGGTTTCCTTGAGGTTGGAGATAGAACAACCATAAGTCAAGGTGAGAAACTCCAGACAGTATTGTCTAGGATACCTGAGTTAGGTCTGATAAAGGACATGGGCTTCCCTGTACACACCCTGGCGAGGTTGACCTGCCTCCCTCAGCACCCTGTGATTGCCAGGTGCTGCTGTGCAGTTGGAGCGCTCCGGTGGATTAGAGGGGCAGAGCAGCCCTGTGGTTCATGCAGGGATCTGCCACTCCACAGTCAGTTCATGGCTCTTACTGGAATAGGTGCCTCTACACTTGGCACAATAGGATAATTTGTCCAGGAAATTCAGCAGGTTTATCAGTCATTCCAAAGGACTATGTCCATCCCGTTAAATTTACATAATAAAGATTATATGACTATCAAGCTGCTGGACAAATTGACAGAAGTAAGATGAAAATGAATGTGAGGCAAATTATTGAGCTTGGAGTTTGCTACTCTCCCCAGGATACCTGCTCACAGCCATATCTACTTGTCCCTCCTGAGTGACATGAATGGGTGGGAAACTATGCTGAGGATTATTGCCAGGGCCCTGCTATCTTTAGGCAGCCACTGCTGTGTGCTCCTGAGAGTGTACACTCTGGCCAGAGTCCAGCTCCCTGGGAACCAGAGGTACTTGTGTACATCAGCTGAGTGGTAAGGACCATGTGTGATAGGTCAGGCAGTACTCATGGAGCTCATGAGATGGGCTCCAAACTCAGACTGTTCAGTGCAGTTTCCACACCATCGACCTGTCAGCTTGTGCCCTAAGCTCCCTTGTCAACATAGAGTCTGAAATAGAATCCTGGAGGACTGCAGCTTTTATTAAAGTGACCTCAGCAGTAGGCGCTGCTGCTTCTGTTTATCATGTGCTCATTAATGCTAGCCTCATTTACTCTCTCAGAGTTGAAACCTGAACATAGGAAACTGGCTTCTTAGAAGGTGAAAAGTGTACTGAACCCTAGAAATAACTTAGGCCTCTTTCTTTACAGAATAGTCCTCTGATCACAGAAATCACCTATAATGTGTCAGTCTTGGTTGAGATAACAGGGCAGCACAGTGGAAGGAAGTTGGGCTTTTGTGGTGCTGCAGCATTGCACAGCTCCAGGTAAACATGCCTCATGGAGCCATGTGGTGGACAGCCTCAGCCTCTCAGCTACCCTTTTCTCTCACTGACAGTGGCTCATAAGGTGATTTGTGTGCACCCATAGACACTTGACAACCATGTAATACATGCTCAGTGAATGAGTCATTGTGATTGCTACACTTTGATTCTTCCTGCCTCCTTAACAAATGTGGCAGCCCTTGGATGGCTTGGGGCTCCTTGTTCTTTTCTTGTATCCACCCCTCCTCCAAGTGCTGCAAATGCTTGGTATATTCTCGCTGCTCGATTGATTGGTCTTACTTTTAGCTTATAGGCTCTACACTGTGGTTCCTCGCCTGGTCAAGTTTGTGGATCTTCTGACCAATTGGTATGTCAGAATGAACCGCAGAAGATTAAAGGTAAGTCCAGGCTGCTGTTGGGAAGAGCAAAAAGTGTAGGAAGTGTGAAAGTTGAGGAGAAATGAATACGGCCAAAATAAAAATTAGGAATATTTTCGGATGCTTTCAGTTTTTGAAGCTTTTTCTTTTTACATTGCATATTAACTATTTTTATCACAATTTGATGAATGGGGTCCTGTAAGTTCTAAAAGTCATCTTGCATATTTTCAGCACACAGTTATATAGAGATGTCATATAGGACCTCTTAAAACCCAAAATAAATTTATGCAAGTATTTTCAAATGTTGTCAAGTACAACTGCGACTCCAGAAGGGCACCTCCTTGCTTCTACCTTTAGAGGGTCAGTTGTTTATTGAAAAAACTCTTTCTTAAGCCTGTTGAGGATTTAAAATGAATGAAGCATGGGTCCAGTCCCAGGACTTTAAGCAGCATATAAACAATGGTGGTAGAAGACAGGAAGTAAGGGATGCCTGTACCATAGACCAGGCGGAGGCTCCCACCACCCATCAGTTTTGCCTTCAAATGTGTTAATGATAAAAGCCCATAGCAGAACAGTAATTTCATTTTTGTTAAAATAGATTGTATACATTATTATGTGCATGTTTTTAGATATGCATAATCTACAAAGACATGCACTAAAATGTTGTCTCTGGGTAACTTAATTATGGTTGAAATTTTTTTTTATTATTTTTATGCTTTTCTGAGAATGAATTAACATAATTATTTTTTAATACACAGTATATCCTTTTTTGAAAAGTAAGAAATATTATCTAAAAGTACTTTAAATTTTTGTGTTAGCAACTATTTCTGACTGTTGCATGTGAATCCCACCCTCAGCCTTCAGGTTCTCCGTTTGTCTTTAACCTCAGTTACAGATCCATTCTCTATCAGCGTGGCCTCGGAGGTAGGGTAGAGTAAAGGGGCCCCATCCTGGCTTTCTGAGCTGACCCCAGACCATCTGTGGTTGTGGTCACTTGTACTTGCTTTGTCTGTACACTGTGTGCTCTCTATGGGTTTCCTCTTACTTGTTTTTAACACTTCAGTGTGTGTTTCTTTTTTATTCACTAGGGTGAAAACGGGATAGAAGATTGTGTTATGGCCCTGGAGACCTTGTTTAGTGTTCTATTTTCTCTGTGCAGACTTATGGTAAGACGGTTGGCCCCATTCTAAAACTCTAGCCCTGTGGACTGCTTGCAGTGCCCTGTTGCTACATCATCCTCAGTCTGTATGTATCTATTCTGTATTTGTGGAACCATAAATAGAAATAGAAGTTTTAAAACAATTTAAATCTCTAATTCCTTTTTCAGAAATCTTATTAGCTTATATGCATCAAGTAAGGGCTAAGAAACTTAATCTTCAAAAGCTGGATTTTTTTCTTTTCACCACTGGCAGTACATTTCAGGTCATGGTTCTTGCATCTACACCAAATTGCCACATTTTCCTTAAATAACATACCTCATCTTCATGTGGATTCCTGTAAATGCGAATAATAGCGAAGTTCTTGAACTAATATCTAACCAAGCAAATATATCACAGCGTTTTACATAAACATATTTCTATCAAGTGAAATATTATTTCATAAATAATGCAAAATGATATGCAACTAAAGAATCCAGTTTTAATTCCCCATATCCTATTTCTGCTCCCCGTTATAATTTATAAGTGTTCTATTTACTTGCTGAACATACACGGAACAAGAACCTGCTTTGTACCAGGTCCTGTGCCTGGTTCCTCACATCTGATCTCTTTCACTTTCATCCTAAGAAGTAGATAGTATTTCTCCAGTTAACAGGGGAGGTTTCTGAGGTTTAGAGACATTGAGTCCTCTTTATAGTGACTTTGCTGGCACGTGGTCAGCAACTCCAGTTTTTATTACATTCTCCAGGATACTTGGGGTCCTGGCTGTACTCCTCCTGTGATTCAGGAAGTTCATCTCTCCAAGTTCAAAATGAAGTCATTTTTCTTTCGTAGGACATGTTTAGTCACCTCACATCCACTTCTGTGTATATTCCTGTATCAATCTCTAAAATGTTTAGTTCTTGTTCCACTCAGATCAGTTAATGATGGCTGCATAATGCCCTCTGTCCTCATACAGGCCCCCTATACACCTTTTCTTACTGAATTGATGTACCAGAATATGAAGATGCTGATCGACCCTGTTTCTGTCCAGGAGAAGGACACACTCAGTATCCACTACCTCATGCTGCCCCATGTTCGGTAAGAATCAAATACATGTAAGCCTCACCTGGGCCATAGGAAGAGAAGTTGCCAGAGATGCACTCATGTGGGTACCTCAGCCCCTTTATGCCCTGCCTCTCACCTGAACAGCTCCTCAAATTACAGAATAGGTAGGAAGGGTGCTCAGTGTGGAACCACCTGTAGCGCTGCAGCAAGTGGGGTGTGAGCAGGTCCATTGGGGCACCCTGGGAAACTGCTGGGTACTGAGCAACAGATAAGTAAGCTTACCACTTACTTCTCACCATGTACCCCGTTAGCCAGCACATGCTGTCCTTCCCCCAGTGCCTCACCAGGAGGCCTCGCTACACCATCATATCTTTAGCCTGACCCTCTTCCTCACTTAGGTATGCCTTTTGTTTGGGATTTTTTCCTTTAAATCTAATCTCTTTCACATCTCTACCTTTTCCAATCAGAGAGGAATTGATTGACAAGAAAACTGAGAATGCAGTATCTAGAATGCAGTCTGTGATTGAACTTGGGCGAGTGATTCGAGACCGCAAAACTATTCCAATAAAGGTTTGAGTTTTTTTATATTTTACATTGCACAGACCTAAATGATTATGTTTTTGAGTATTTTCTTAATATAGACAGCTTCCAGCAATGGCATAAATTTTTATTAGTACTAGTTGACTTAGTACTAGTTGAGCCTAATTAGTCTAGAGCTTGACATTTGGAGAAAACATGTAGCATTCCATTTTTCTGCAGTTTTGAAGACTAGCTGCTTACTGAACTTTTTCTTCCCTTTTCTTCTTAGTATCCTTTGAAAGAAATTGTGGTTATCCATCAAGATCCGGAAGCTCTTAATGACATCAGGTCTTTGGAGAAGTATATAATTGAGGTAAGACAGATGATTTGTCTGTTTGGGTCCAAACAGACTTCTTTCCTTGAGAAGATTATTTTGATTAGTACTACACTTTGAGTGTGTAATTTATCCTTTTTACTTCATATATCTTTATATATATAAATTTAACCATCCATGAAATTTTATACTTAGAATCATGAATTTTTACAATGTAATTTTAATTTTTTTAAATGATTTCAAGGTCAATGAATTTTCTTACCTTAGTTGGATCATCTACTTCCCTTCCCCAAAGTACTTTTTGATAATTAACAAAAATAAACTTTGTTCCTTCAAATTATACAAGTAACAAGTGAACACATGTTGTCAATAATTCAAGAACTGGCATAGAGTACAAAGGTGAGTCCTTTCCTATTCCATTCGCTCCCTGAAATCCCATCTCCTAGGAATGTTCACTAGGGTATCTCCTGCTAGAGTTGTTCTTAGCATTTTACACACATATACATGCGTTTGTACAGACATATACATCACCACTGGTTTTGTTTGTACATAGAGATTTTATATATAGTCAACTTTTTTCACTTAGAATTTCTTAAAGGGCATCCCATCTTAAAACATAGAGATCTTTATTCTTTATAACAGCTGCATAATGTTCACTTCCTGGCTGTACCATAATTTATTTAATTAATTAATTTATTTAATTTCTCTCCTATTGTTGGAAATTTAGGTTTCGCATTACAAAAGGTTTGTGTGTATCTTTGTCACATGTCAGAGTATAGACGTTGGATAGATTCCTAGAAGTGAAGTTTTGGGGTCAAGAGTTTAAACTACTGTCAGTTGCCCTCCCAAAAATCTTTATTTCATAATGTTTTAAAAACAAATAATTCATATTTTAATTTTTATTTCTTATACCAGTGATGTTTAAATTTATTATTGTAGAAAATATTAATTTCTATTATATTCTGGTTTTGAACTGCTTGTGAATTCAACATAAATATTAGAAACTAAAGAATTATGTTATAAATGTTATAGTTAATGCTTGCAAATATAGATGAAAATAGAGTATATGTAAAGGAAATATCTTAATCACTATGAGATCACATGACACAGTTAAGTGTAATGGCAA